TCTTCTCCTTCCTCTATTTTTAAGCCGGATTTGATAATAAAGGTGAGATGAGAAAAATCTGAGAAAAGGAAGAGGTGATGCGATCTGAGCCTGGAATCATTTAAGCACACTCTTTGAAAGGAATTGGAAAATAACCTATCCCAAGAAGGGACAGGTGTCAGTGTTAACCTCCACTCACTCCGTTTACTCACTGGTAAATATAGATGGAGGGCTTTGGGCATTCCAGGTGGAGTACTGGGGATTTAGGTTGCAAGACTCCCCTCTGGTCTCAGGTAGCCTTAACCATATGTGGGCATTTGAACCTACTGCAAGTCATTTTGGGGCACTGACTGGTGTGAGAAGTGATTCAGAGGCATTCTTTTTGTTGGTTTGGAGTACTCATATGTATTGGTTTGCTTTTGGAATGCTTTCATTTGCTTTTATGTCTTGTATCTTTCTCTTATAACTGCATTTATTCTAGGATGGCCATAAGGGTTTTGGTAACATTTAGAATCATGTTAGTCATTTGGGGGTTCAAGCCATTCTGAGGCTTCTTTGTGAGCCAATATAGAGTGCAAGGCTTTTGAACCACTTATCAACAAAGGAAAAAAAAGTTTGGATGAAGTGATTCTAAAAGAATAGAGACCTGGTGGCGTATTGTGAGGAGCTTAGTTTTAAATTCCTCGGGGATAAAAGTGCTTATGCTACTTTAAAGCTCTCTAGAAAGTTCTAGTTACTTGTGCTTAGAAAAAGGTAATTTTATTGTGATAAAACATTGCCTGTATAACTGAAAGTACCCTCTAATTTCATGGACCTGTCCTTAATTTTGGCCAGGATAACATCTGTACCTCCTTTCCTCCCTCAGCCTTTTCTAGATAAATGGCAAGAGCCTTCTGGACCACGCTTGGCTAATGTTGACCATTTTATTGAGGTTTAAATTTCCCCTTATTTTGGCTAATCATCCTTGGTGCATTCTAAATCAGTTGAGTTTCAAAATATTGGTCAAAAATTGTTTGCTGAAAATTGATTTTTGTCTCATTCTACCTCCATTCCTTAACTTAGAAAATAGAAGGATTTCACTGCAGATGGTGTGCCCTTGTGTTTTCCTCTGTGGGAAGCATTGTTTATAGACTGGTTTATTTTTTCATAATAGAGGCTTTAAGCAATAGATCCAGGGTAAAATGTGTAAACTCCTGACCAGTTAAATCTAAATTTGAACACAACGGAAAATGTCTTAAAACTTGGGAGCTTTTAAATTGACTAGGACTGTACAGGTTTGGGGCAACTGAGGTACCAGCCACTGCCATCACCTCTCTGCCATGGAGGTAACCCAGGTTTGGGACACTTGAGGTGGCAGCCATTGCCATTCCATGGGGAAAAATTGAAAGCTTTTACACTAAAATCAGGAGTAAGACAAAGATGTCCACTGTCACCACTCCTATTCAACATACTTCTGAAAGCATTAGCCAGAGCAATTAGACAGGAAAGAGAAATAAAAGGAATAAGGATAGGAAAGGAAGACGTTAAACTGTCATTGTTAGCAGATGACATAATACTCTACACAGATGGTTCCAAAATTTCCACCAAAAGACTTCTAGAATTAATAACCAAATTTAGTAGCTGGATACAAAGTCAACTGTCAAAAATCAATAGCATTCCTATACACAAAACAGCATCCTCAACTGAGAGAAAAATAAGGGAACTCACATCCTTCACAATAGCATCCCTCCGCCCAAAAGAAACCCTTTTGGGAATCAGTCTTACAAAGGAATCAGTCTTACAAAGGATATAAAATATCTATACATTGAAAGTTGTAGCACTCTAAATAAGTGATTTAAGAAGATATCAGAATATGAAAAGATATTCCTTTCTCATGAACAAGAAGAACCAACTTTGTGAAAATAGCCATGTTCCCAAAAGTTTTATACAGATGCAGTGCAATCTCATTCTAAAAACTTTTAGCATACATCCAGATACTGAGAAAACATTCCAGAAAATTCATTTGGAAACAGAAGAAACTTAGAATAGCAAAGACAGTCCTGGGCAAAAAAGGCAAGTCAGGAGGAATCACAATTATTCTGCGAAGCTGCTAAAATAAAATTGGCATGGTACTGGTGAAAAAAAACAAAACAAAATAAAGAAAACCAAGATCTGAGGATCAGTGGAACAGAATAGAAGACACAGGCACACCTACAAAGACACTCAGCCACCATACCTTACCTTACCATACCTTAGACAAAGGGGCCAAACATGTTTACTGGAAGAAAGATAGCCTCTTGAATAAATGGTGCTGGAAAAACTGACTTTCCACATGCTGAAGATTAAAACTAGACCCATGTCTATCACCATGTACTAAACTAAAGTCAGAATGGATCAAAGATCTAAATATTAAAATAGAAACACTAAATGTACTCAAAGACAAAGTAGGCAGAAATTTGAAGACATAGGGGTAGGCTGAGAGTTCATGAACAAAATCCATACTGCATGGGAAGTATTTTGAAGAATCAACAATTGGCCTCTCATTTTACTAAAAAGTTTTGCACATCAAAAGAAATCACCAACAGAATGAAAAGAAAACCCATGAATTGGGAAAAAATTTTAGTCAGCTGTCCCTCAGACAAGACTTGTATCTAGAAAATATAAAGAATTGAAAATATCAGACCCCACAAATTCCAAGACCCAATCCAAAAATGGGCCTCTGAGATGAACATGCACTTCTGTTTATCTGTTGATGAAGAAATACAAATGGCAAATAAATATGTAAAAACAGTTCAGCATGGTCATTCAAGAATTGCAAATTAAAACAACACTGAGATTCCATTTCACTCCAGAAAGAATGACGACTATCAAGACATCAACCAATGACAGATGCTGATGGGGCTGTGGGGACAAAGGAATCCTCCACTGTTGGTGGGAGTGTAGATGGGTACAATCAGTGTGGAGATTCCTCAAAAAACAAGATTTGGAGGTCCCATTTGACCTAACTATTCCTCTTCTGGGTATTTTCTTAGAAGAGTTCGAAACATCAAACCACAGCAGTATATGTGCACCTATGTTTTTTAGCAACACATTTTGTAATAGTCAAATATTGGAAACAACCCAAATGCCCATCGACTGTGGAATGGATAAAAAAGCTGTGACATTTTTATATGATGGAGTACTACTCAGCTATAAAGAAGGATAAACTTGGGGCTTTTATAGGTAAATGGATGCAACTTGAGACCACACTCATAAGTGAAATAAATAATAATCCCATGTGTAAACATCATATTGTCTTGTGTACAAATTGAAAGTAAGATCCAAGATGTACAGTAGATTTTGTGAAAGTGAAAGGGAAAGAAACTGCTCAGTAGGGAAGAATAACTGGAATGGAAGGAGAAGGGTAAAGATCTATATAATCGTGCTACTAATTTCTGTTAGTTCATCAAAAGAATGGTTTGTGCGTTCACTGATCACTTTTTCATGCCATGTTTTGTAATCTGAGCAACTATTTTGAAGATAAAAATGCACAGTATAGTATAATCTATTACATTGATTTGAAATTCTGTATTGTTTTTAATCTTTTTTTGTTTTAAAATTAAAAATAAAATAAATTTACTAAGATCTATAACAGTTTTCCCTGTTATAGTTTATATCCAGATGACCACCCAAAAGTGTCATTTGCTCACAGGCAGCTGGATCATGAGGGTGTCATACGCATGAGTGAATCAGCCCACTGATGAGTTCATAGCAGGAAAAAGAAAAATCTTTAGGAAATTCAAACACAGGTTAATTGGGCAAGCAATCTCCTTTGAGGTGTATGTTTTTAACCTTGCAACAACCAAGAATCCTAAATTTTATTTTATTTTATTTATTTGAGGCAGGTCTCATGTATAGTACAGGCTGGCCTTAAACTCACAATGATCCTCCTGCTTCAGCTGGGATTATAGGTGTGCACCATCAGGTCTGACAAATCTTACTTTCAAACATGCAAATTTAGGATTATATATGGTTTAGGACTATAAAAAGAACAATTACACCAATAGTATAAGCTTTTAAAAGGTTTAAAAGCTTGTTTTATGTGTGTTGACGTGTATGTATATATGTAGCGCCTGTGTATACTGGTGTTTGTAGGTCATTTAGATGACACCAGATTAGTCTAAAATTAAGAGTGCTCAGTAATTAAGAAAGCATAAATGCAAATATGTTACTCCCTATGACTTAAGCAAATATTGAAAAGATAGTTAGAATTGTTAACATATTGTGCCAGTGTTAACAAGCCAAAATTGTTTTTTTTAGGTGTTTGATGTTCAAAAGAGAACTTTCAGTTTTAAGAAGGTTATAAAGGCCGGGGATTTAGCTCAGCAGCATAAGCACCTGCCTGCAAGCGCGAGGTTGTGAGTTTGATCCTTGGTACCAAAACAAAACAAAACAAAAAAGAGAGAAGGTTATAACGGTACTAAAGAACAAAGAAGAAAATTGAAAAATGTAGAGTTTATTAGCATCCTGAAGACTTGGGAGTCAGAGTTGAATATTGAGATCATGTGGCATGCATGTTAATGTAATTCTAACTGGACATTCTTTTATTTAAAAGTGTAAGTTGTTTAGCTTCTCAGAAATGTTATGGAGCAGTAGTTAGCATCTAGTTTTAGCAGAAGGAACCTAGGACACAGTATTTTGCCGTTGCTGAGCATTGGTTAGAATGATATGTTATGACTTAGGCTTTTAAGTTTCTGACTATGCTGAGAAACAAAAACCGTAAGTAGTGCTTTTGAGAACAGCAGGTAAGGCCCAGATCTGCCCGGTTTCTCTCTATTGTGGGGAGGTTATGGCTACATCAATTTCAGATTTCAGGATTGGCTTGTTCCAAAATGTTCTTGGGACCATTTTATAAACCAAGAGTTGTTTACACCATGGTGAGTAAATGAACTTAAGTGTATGAACCTAAGTAGACAGTCACAGGTAGACACATTTCTTAAAAACTAACCTTTGTCTTGGTTCATTTATTTAATCTGTTTTTCCCTTCTTCTACCCACTCCCAGGAGAAAATAATGAATGTCAAAGGAAAAGTAATTCTGTTGATGCTGGCTGTTTCAACTGCAGTGGTTGTGTTTTTGGAATACATCAACAGGTAATTATAAAGCTTGATGAAATGATATTGATGAACGTACCACTTTGACTTTATTTTACTAGTACCAGCCAAGTTACCAAGTTTGAATTAAAATTAGGATTAATTAAACCTATAAAGAGATTCCACCCTTTCTTCCTTCCTGAGCTCTGAATTGTCTTTAAAATCACCACATTCCCAAGTAAATTCCAGCTAATTAATTATCTGGTTCCTATTATGTTCCTGTTATCTTGATTTTTGTACTGGTAGGCTACATTCAAAGAGAGTGAGGTTGGATGAAGCCCGAAGTATAATTTTAAGAAACTTGTATGATCAGATATGGAAATTACCTTTAAGAAATTTCCGACAGGAATTCTGTAAGACATCCACCCTGAATTTTGTGATCCTAAAATATTTGTAGAGCCTGACAGAATCATTCAAATTGATGATTTTTACTGCAAATTTATACACACCGAGTTGCTGGGGATTCAGTTGTGCCTGGTCAAAGCTTACTACTCATTCCTTCTTTCTCTCCTCTCTCCCCTCTGGAAAACAGAATGGATTAAATTCTGTGAGTTTTCAGATTTCACTGTGCTTTCAAATGTATCAACTACCTCTGTGCTTTTAAAACCATATTGTTTTGAAGATTTTAGTCAGAGAAGCTTTAAGACTGAAAGAAATCTCCACAGACAGCTACAGAAAGTCATGAGACTTTGACCTTAGCAAAACTGGTTAAGATTGCCCTTCAGATACAAAACATCTGCAGTAAACTGAATTGTACAGAGTTGTCTTGGCACTGTTAATATTTCCATAGTAGAACGTTTTGTTTTTAATTTTTGTAGTACCAAGGTAATAAGTTGCAGTACTAAACCCAGAATTAGGACTAAACCCAGAATTAAGCAACTGCTTTCCTGTTGAACTACACCCCCAGCCTTCCTTTTAAAAAAATTTTATTTTGAGACAATCTAAATTGCACAGTCTGACCTCAAATTTGTATTTGTCCTGCTTTAGCCTCCTGTGTAGCTGGGATTACAGGTTGTACCCCTGTGCAGGGTTTAGTGAAGTATTTTAGTGGCACCCAAATTCAAGATGGTAGCCTGGCTTAATATCTCAGTGCTCAAGTTCATCAAATTCACATCTAGCAGAGTTGTCTTGGCTATCAAAACAGGAGTTGCGTCTTTAGGTGTATCAATAACAGGAGGAAAACTCCAGAATACAGAAGCAATTAGTCTTGAAGATCTAACCACTTCTAGAGTGTACTTTTGTTTCATTCTAGATAGCTAATTTTAACAAAAACAACAAAGTAAAGGGTAACTGAGTTACAAGGTCTGGAAACTAGTTCTTTTGAATTGAGGAAACTGGTTCAAAAGGTGAAATGACTCAGAGCTGGGTGCTGGGAAACTGGGGTTCCCTCAGGTACTTGAGAGTTGAGGAAGTATCCTGGCTGGGATTATAGGAAAGGCTGCCTGGGCCCATGGTTTTTTTTTTTGGGGGGGGGGTCTTTTTGAGACAGGGTTTCGCTATGCAGTCCAGGATGGTCTTGAACTTAACTTTGTACCCCAGGGTAGCCTCAAACTCGGACTCATAGTGATCCTCCTGCCTCGGTCTTCTGGATGCTGTGATTACAGACAGGTACCACCATGTCTGGCCGGTGTGCTACCATGTACCTCCTCTATAACCTTGGATAAGTTATTTGATCACCATGTCCTTCAGTTTTTCTACTTTTAAAAATGAGACTAATAATAGTACCTGTTTTATAGGGTTATTAGTGGATTAAATAAGTTAACTGTGTACAAAGCAATCGGGGCAATAGCTGGGAGTTCATAGGCATTCAATAAAGTTGCCATCATCATCATCACCATCATCACCACCATCATCATCTTAGCTCAGGCCACTATTACAAGATAACATCAGTTGGGTAGCTTTACCAACAGGAATTTATTCCTCACAATTCTAGAGGCTGGGAAGTCCAAGATCAAGGAGCCAGCTGGTTTAGTTCCCAGGTGAGTGCTTTCTTCCTGGCATGCAGACGGCCACATTTTCCCTGTGTTCACATGTGATGGAGAACAAGTGAGTTAGAGTCTTTTCCTCTTTTTATAAGGACACCGAGTACATCATGGGTATCTTGTTCTTATATCCTCATTGAAACCTAATTACCTACCAAAGGCCACACCTCCAAATACCAGCATTCTAGGGACAGAGCTTTAACGTGGACTTGTGCATGGGTGGGAGGAACATAGACGTTCACTCCCTGTCATCATTATCATTTTCTCCAGGGGTTAAAACAAAACAGGGAATTCTGGCAAATTAAAAAAAAACTCCAGCAGTTAGAAGAGTTCAACAGAAGCACAAGTGCCCTTTGGAGTTGCTGCGTGGAACTTGTTTGAAAAGCTGCCACATTCTGAATCTGAAGGCTTGACCAGTTAGCTTCAGAGCTCTGAATTGTAGCCAAAGTTGTACTTCCCTTTTTTTTTTTGGTTGTTCTCAACATTAAAATATGAGCCAAAGTCTCAACCGAGCATACTCTTGCTGACCTCTCAGAGAGAGGGTTGGTTATTTGGGGATACAGGCAGGTGACTGGTGCTAGTTCTGGCTGCTTCTTAGGGCCACCGTCTGCATCATTCCCTGATTTGCAGAATCCACTTGGTTGTCTTTAAAAGGCTTTAAGAGGAATAGATATTTCTCTTTATGAACTGGTCACGTGATGGCCTGAGGTGAACTGAGGGCACATGAAGCTCAAAGATTTAAAAATAAATCAAACACACCCACCATTTAGTAAAAAGAAGCTCTCATGTCAATAAAGCACCTTGAAAGGAAGTCATTCGGGACAGCATTTGATTTAAGGATGGCTAAAAAAAATCTTAGAATTTCTAGCACCAGAAAACTTTAAAAGTTAGAATGAAAAGGCAGTGATGGTGATGGGGGTTATGATGATAGTAACTATGAGTTACTGAGTGTGAGCATGTGCCAGGAATCATGCTGTGTACTGTCTCAAATTCTCACATAGCCTGCAGAATGGGTACCATTTCAAGTTTCTAGACGAGGACCCTGGGTTTCCAAAACGTTAAACATTATAATTTAGGATCCCATTTTAAGAAAACTTAGGCCTCTGGCTTATCTGACTGCAGCTCATTCTCTCTCTCTTTCTCTCTCTCTCTCTCGCTCGCTCTGTCTTTCTCTGTCTCTCTCTCTCTCACCTCAAATCCATTTTATTCAAACATAGAAAGAGAAAAGAATAAGTACGAAAGCTGTAACAAAATTTAAAAGTACATGACTCGGGATAACAATGATACATACATTGTACATTTCATATCATTCACCCAGAGCACAGGACATCTGTCCTCAATTGTCCAAACAATACCAGCACAAATCTTTCTCTTCAGTGAACTCAGAGAAATCAGTAGTATAACTATCTTAACTAGTTTTTATGTACATATACATACACGTATACATATGTTTTTTTGTCACACTAATGAAACAATACGATGTTTATACACAAGTGCCGCATTTCACTAATGAGTATGTTCTCAGGGTGCATCCATTTACATATATAAAAGTGTTTAGTGTATCATTCTTCATGGCTGAGTAGTACTCCATTATATAACAATACCACATCTTTTTTATCCATTCCTCAGTCAGTGGGCATTTAGGTTGTTTCCAAGATATGTGCTACTGTAAACATGGATGCACATGTATCACGTGGTACGATGTTTTTAATTCTTTTGGGAAGATAACCAGAAGGAGAATAGCTGGATTGAATGGGACCTCCAATCCTAGTTTTTGGAGGCATTTCCACACTATTTTTCACAGTGATTGCACTAGTCTACACTCCCACCAAAAGTGGAGGAGGGTTTCTTTTTCCCCACAGTCCCTCCAGCATTTGTTATTGGTTGATTTCTTGATACTAGCCATTCTTTCTAGGGTAAGGTGAAATCTCAGTGTGGTTTTAATTTGCATCTTTTGAATGGCCAGTGATGTTGAACTTTTTTTTCACGTATTTATTTGCTACTTGTGTTTTTTCATCTGAGAAGTGTATATTTATCTCAGATGCCCATTTTTGGATTGAGTCTTTAAATCTAGGGGGACTGATTGTTTTTGAGTTCTTTATATGTTCTCAGTAGTAGTCCTTTGTCTGAGGAATAGCTGGCAAACATGTTTTCCCATGTTGTGAGTTGTCTCTTCATTTTGTTGGTGATTTCTCTTGCTGTGCAAAAGCTTTTCAATAAGGTGAGATCCCATTTGTTGATTCTTTGTGCTAGTTCCTGTGCAATCTGAGTTTTGTTCATAAAGTCTTTGCCTATGCCAATATCTTCAAGAGTTTTACCTATTCTGTATTCCAGCAGATTTTAATGTTTCTGTTTTAATATTGAGATCTTTGATCCATTCTGATTTTAGCTTGGTATGTGTTGAAAGAGATGGATCCACTTTTAATCTGCGGCGTGTGTAGGGCTAGTTTTTCCAGCACCATTTATTAAAGAAGCTATCTTTCTTCCAGTGAATGTGTTTGGCACCTTTGTCAAAGATAAGGTGGCTTAGTGTGTCTGCATCTTCTAATCTATTCCATTGATCTTTGGGTCTGTTTTTTTTGCCAGTATTACACTGTTTTTTGCTATTGTGATGCCCCGTCTTGTCTTTGTTGCCCAGGATTGCCTTTGCTATCCTAGGTCTCTTCTGGTTCCAGATGAATTTTTGGATTGTTTTGTCTATACTATTGGAATTTTGATTGGGATTGCATGGAGTCTGTATAACAGTTTTGGAAGTATGGCCATTTTCACTACATTGGTTCTTCCTACCCAAGAGCATGGGAGATGTCTCCATTTTCTAATATCCTCTTCAATCTTCTTTTTCAGAATACTGTAGTTTTCAATGTAGAATTCTTTTACATCCTTTGTTACACTGATTCTAGGTATTTCATTTTTGGAAATGTTATTGTTAAAGATATCATTTCCCTGATTTCTCTCTCAGTGAGTTTGTTATTCATGTACAAACTATTAATTTTTGAGTGTCAGCTTTGTAACTGACTG